ATATATATATATATATATACGAACTTTCTGTGGTGTTTTTTGGGGTCGTTGGTCTGCGTCGGCAGGGGCGCTTGTGTTCTTTAGTTGTGCGCTTGATTTGTGTCGTCGCTGTGCTTGGAGCTTTCGTATTCAGGGCTTTTTATGGTTGCGACTCTTGGTTTTTCGGAAGTCAAGTTGCCTTGTTGTTAGTCTTTTGGGCAGTGGCTTGGGTGTTCGTTTGTTGCCCAGTGCATAGGCACTGTCATGGTAGAGGCGGTGTCATTGAGGTTGGCTGCAGGTTGTGGTTGTCGTTGTTGCTACTCTTGCTGCTCCCGTTCTTGTCTACTGGTCGTGTTGGTTGGCCCGGACCGAGATATTTTTCGGATTTCAGCCAGCCAACCAGGCTTGTAGGTGAAGGTAACCCTCGTGCCAAGGACTAGCCAGCCCGAACAAATTGACTAGGTTGCGCAGTTGAACCCTTTTGGCCTTTTTCTTTTTGGGTTCTCTTATTAAAACCGAATGGTAGGAAAAAGGGTACCCTCATTATTAAGGGGCTCTTGGAGAACCTAGTTGAGATTATTGTCCAGTTCTTCATCCTCGCAGATGATTCGCGGTGCGTCGGGATCGTCGAATATTTTTACGATCCCTTTATCGACAAGACAGCTGCTCTCTGCAATATAAACCCTAAACCCTAAACCCCTAAACCCAGTCACCTGGCGAACGTTTGTCGCAGTGATCACCCTAAGCTCAAGCTTGGACCTATGCTACTCCCTCACCCCTGAACCCTAAACCCTAAACCCTAAACCCTAAACCCTAAACCCTAAACCCTAAACCCAAACCTGGTAAACCCTCAAGGCCAAACCCTTAAACAGTCATTAGCCAGGTTTAGGGTGATCAAACTATAGAAGCCTAAATAGTTGCCTACATTATTCCTCAGGCGCCTTATGAGAATTTAACTATATAGGCGCCCAAGACCCTATTCTAATTATTTAACGTCCCTACATTATGGTTACGAAGACCTGAAGGTCATTGAGAACCTGGTGGACGAAACGAACGTTCAGTTGGTGCTCCGTGAGCTGCAGGCACTGGGCAGGAACAGACCCCAAAGCACGTAACCAAAATCTTCAAGACGTGAGTTCGGTTACCGAGGGTTCGTGCATCAGCATGTCTATTGTGGAATTTGCCAGGGCCCGATTGGGCCAAACACTGCGGTGGTTTAGGATGAACTTTTTGCCCTGATACTCAGCCCTAGCTTAGCCCAAACTTGGCAGGTTCATTGGCTTCAAAGCAACTCACCACCTAAGTCCTACCCTAAGCCCTTAACCCAAAAACCCTAAAACCCTGAACCCTGAAACCTTAAAAACCCTATAAACCCTAAACCCTAAACCCTGCAAGGCCTGAGCCTTGAACCCTAAAGCCTGGAACCCAGAAGCAGGAAGGGTTCAAGATAGGGGATGGCGTAGGCATGGTTTAGGGTTTAGGGTTTAGAGCTTAGGGCTTAGGGTTTAGAGTTTAGGGTTTAGGGTTTGGATTTTTGGTTTTAGGGTTTAGTGCTAGGTTTTAGAGTTTAGGGTTCATGTTTTGGGGTTTAGGGTTCAGAGTTCAGGGTGCATACATTGCATCCCACATGAAATCCAGCAACCATCCATAGAAAGCTCTGGCTGAAGGATTGGGGTTTATTAGGGTTTAGGGTTTAGGGTTTAGGGTTTAGGGTTTAGGTTTACCCTGAACCCTAAACCCTAAACCCTAAACCCTAAACCCTAAACCCTAAACCTTAATTGATCCAGGTTGTGGTGTCAAGTCTTGCCCTTGGCCCGACATGATCCAGACACGGCTTGTCACTGAGCGCTTCATCAGAACAGCTACATAGGGTTTAGGGTTTAGGGTTTAGGGTTTAGGGTCGCGCCACTGCTGACTGCCTTCGATGTCAATCTTACCCCATGCCCCTAAACCCTGAACCCTAACAGCCTCTTATCGACGACTTGCTGGAGGGACGAAAAGCTAAAGGGGCTTAACAAAAGCGAACAAAACAACGTTCTATCACCCTCATACAGAAAGCACTAGACCTCGAACTCGAAAATCCTGAGGAGCCCTCCGAACCCTAGCGCGCTATCCAGAATCCTTGGGAACATGACAGCCTAAGCCCATTGCCTTGTCTGCGTAAGAAGGCCAGGGACGCAAGGGGTGAAGAGAGCACTCCCAACAGCCCACAGCAGGTGGTCTATAAACTATAGTCTTTATGTGTAGGCCAGGTTTTGGAATTCAGGGCTTTTGCTCCATTGTAGTTCCTTTTCTGGTTTAACCAATTATATATTCAGGAATTTATAAGGTATCCCCCACAAGGAACTACAATGGAGACTATCGGTACACCCTAAACCCTAAACCCTAAACCCCCACCCCCAAACCCTAAAGCATGGGGTGTTTGAATCTCTACCCTAAACCCTAAACCCTAAACCCTAAACCCCCAAACCCTAAAGCATGTGGTGCTTGAATCTCTACCCTAAACCCTAAACCCTAAACCCTAAACCCTAAACCGGCAGGTCTACGTCTCCTGGCACTCGCAACCCGACTTTGTGGCACGCGCGGTGCAGAGCATCGCCAAGGTTGCCTTGACGATCGCCTCGGCACGCCCAGCATGGGTTTAAGATAGGGTTTAGGGTTTAGGGTTTAGGGTTTAGGGACATAGGCTTTTGGGAATATTGACATAAACATGGAGAGTAGGTTAGGTTTTCCGTTTTTGCTTTTTTGCATGCCTAGACTAGGTTCCCCTGTAGGAGCCTTTTGCCTTTTTGTTTTTGGGGTCCCTTATTCAACCCAAAGAGTAGGAAAAAAGGGTGCCCTTATTGTTAGTGGTCTACTGGGGAACCAAGTTAATGTAGGGGCCTGAACAGTTGACATAAGGGGTTTTGGAATATGTCGTCATAACAGCATGCATAGACCCAGACCCTAAACCCCTAGACCCTAAACCCGTAAACCCTGAAGGGGAGCCCTAAGGAATAGTATTGCAAGCATAAGGCCCCGAGAGGAGACGTCCATGTGGTTTTGGGATCCCTTCAAGCTTTGAGTTTAGGGTTTAGGGTTTAGGGTCTAGGATTTAGGGTTTAGGATTTAGGGTTGAGGATTTAGGATTTAGGATTTAGGGGGTTTCGGGTTTAGGGTTTAGGGTTTAGGATTTAGGGTTTATGGTTGAGGATTTCGGGTTTAGGGTTTAGGGTTTGGGGTGATAGTAGAAGCCAGAAAGTTGGAACATAACTATCCTCATGCCCTTAAGGTAAGTTTGTACGGGATCCTAGCACTAATCCCGCAAGCCCATTTTCCAACTCCCTGGGGTTCACTGTAGGCCCTGACGATTGGGTTTAGGGTTTAGGGTTTAGGTTTTAGGGTTTAGACGATAGGGCACCCTGGTGAATACATCCGCACCTGGGATTTTCACGACAGTTCTTGTTGAAGAATGCAGCGAAGTCCAGCTGTCATGTTGCATTACAGCTAAAACCGAAACCCCATGCTTAGGGCTTAAGCCCTGGGTGTGCAAAACCCGATATGTAAAAACTAGCTTTCTCGGCAGGATTGACGTTATGGTCCTCTTCGATCTCAGTTGGTCATGATCCACCCACTCCCATTTCCTGTGTTCTGTTGTGTTCTCGTACTGTACACACTGCAACCCGAAACCCTGAGCCCCAAACCGTAAACCTTAAACCCTGAACCCTGATTACTAAACTAACACCCATACCGGAAACCTTAAACCCTGAACCCTAAACTAAACCCCAAACCGGAAGCCTTCAACCCATAAACTAAACCCCAAACCACTGCAGCAGATTAGTCGTCGTGTTGAGGCCCTGATCTTATCGTGCTTCATTGAGCCTTGAACCCCAAATCGTACACCTTAAACTCTGAACCTCTAAACCGTCTAAGCTTGCCTATAACCCTCCTAAACCCTAAACCCTATAACCCTATAACCGCTAAAGCCCTGACCCGCCCGCGTCGCCTCTGCGGCCGCAGCGTCCAAAGCCACAATCTCCCGTTCTCGTCCCCACCTATCCGGCCTCCGCGGACCTGCCTGGAGCTTAAGATACCTCAGGGTCCATGTACCCAAATAGTCCGTGTAGGCTTTTTTTGGGTTCCTTTATAAAGGGATCAATAAGGGTTCCATAGGGTTTAGGGCTTAAGGGGTCCATGTACCCAAATAGTATATACTTCGGCCTTGAAGTAGTCCCTGTATAGGTACTTCGGGGCCAATGTATTTGCTGTATGAGTACATGGACTCTTAGGGATAGGAACCTGACTCAGAGACCCTGGGCCTTTATTTGGCTTGGTTGAACTTTACAGTCACTTTGTAGCTTTATCATTTTTAGGATTAGCCTTTTTGATATTAGGGGTACTAAAAGTTAAAATTTTAGCCAGGTAATAAACCCTAAACCCTAAACCCTAAACCCTAAACCCTAAACCCTAAACCCTAAACCGGGTGCTTTACATGGGGCCCCGGTTTTTTGGGGATCCCGAGCTTTGGCTCTTTTCTGGGGCCTTGGTAGGGTTGGTCTTGGCGTCCTTTATAGGAATCGTAATAGTGGTTTAGGGTTTAGGGTTTAGGGTTTAGGGTTTAGGGTTATATGAATCGTAATAGTGGTATCATGGGGCCAGGGTTTCTTAGTTAGGATCCTAGATTAGTTTGTGGTATTTTCTGAACGGAAGTTCACAAGGGAGTGCGGCATCAAGAGTTATGGCGGCCTTGGGCAAGAGTTGGGCGGTCTCGATTCTGGGCTCGTCTCCACTGAATAATGAATCACTGATTAGTTGTGGACGTGTTGTAGACACAGGTCGGCATAGTTCAAGAATCATCGAGGCCACTCATTGCAACCAAAACCCTAAACCCTAGACTTCAACCCTCAGTCCCCTCTGCTTCCGACTCCAAAGAGTCTACGCATCGTGCGGAACTGCAGATTGGAGGTGATGTCTTGGAGGACGTGGCGGTGGACTCTGATGACTCTGCCACGATTAATCGTGCTGCAAGCGCAGGCTCGAAGCTGACGACGGTGACGACATGTCTGCTCCTGGCTCCACAACGGCGATGGCCTCTGGTGTTTCTGATGGCACAGGGCTCACGGCGGAGCAGCTGCAGCAGAGATCAGTCAAGCCATGATCGACAGCCTGGAGGCCAAGGTCGGGAGTCTCCTAGAGCCTGTGGCCGCGATTCAGCATGCCATGCGTCTGCAGCAGGCCATCCCGCTCAATCACGATCCCAGATATCAAGGGCCGAAGGTCATGGGCATTTGAGTTGCATGGGCGATTGAAATTTTTGAGCTGTGGGTTTCGTGCTGATGCCTGGGCAAAGGAGTGTTCTTGTCGTTCCCTATGTTTGAATATTGAGAAATCGTCAACTGCACTCTGACCCCTAATCAGCTCCTAACTTTGCTTCAGCCTAAACCCAAGTTTGCTGAAAGTCCAGGACCAACATCACAACGTTGTAACCCTAAAACTGCGTTCGGAAGCCTCTGCCGCAATCACCGTAAACACCCAGCTGCCCCAAGCTACGATTGAACAACCACGACCCTTAACAGAGTATCCTCTCACGAGCCATCATAAAGGCTACTGTATGACAACAGTCAGCCCCCAAATCTGGGAAACTCTGCGTGCTTGACAGCCGCTTACACCCTGCACCCGTTAGCCCTTTAGCTCCAAACCTTTAAAGCCCAAACCCTAAATCCTTAACCCTAAACCCTTAAACCCCAAACCCTTAAACCCAAAACCCTAAACCCTTAAACCCTAAACCCTAAACCCTTGAACCCTAAACCCGCAAAGCCTTCAACTGTTAAACCTTGAAGTCCTAAACCTGGATTACCCTTCAACACCTAAGCCCCGAACCCTAAACCCTAAACCCTAAACCCTAAACCCTAAACCCTAAACCTTAAGCCCTTGAAGTCTTAAGCCCTACCTGGGCCCCAGGCAGTCTACCGCCAACCTATCGCTTTAAGGATGTTTTGTAAGAAACTCAACCCTAAACCCTAAACCCGATAAGCCCTATAAGCCCTAAAGCCTAAACCCTAAGCCCTAAAACCTAAACCCTAAACAACAAGGAGCCCCCAACAAGGCCCCCAAAGCGCTGAGGACGTGCGATCCATGGCTTTCTCTGCTGCCATCCGTCGCCTCCCAGGAGGCTCTTGGGTATGGGTTGAGGGGTGCTTAAGGGGGGGTTTAGGGTTTAGGGTTTAGGGGGGTTTAGGGTTTGGGGTTTAGGGTTTCGCGGCGGAGGGGTGGGAGAGGTTAGGGGTCAGGGATTCGGGTTTTGGGTTTTGGGGATGGGTGGCGGGGGATTGGGGATTGACTTCGGTATGTGGGAATCCAGGGGTTCGTATATGTCTGGGAGTTAGTAAGACTTAGTACGAGTTCGGGTGCACGGTTTTAAAAGTCTAGCTTCGGGGTTCGAGGGTCATGGGTTTGGGGACCCCTTACTTTTGGCCACCCACACACACACACACCTGGTTCAACGTCGTCTTCCTGCCTTTGTTTAGTGTACATACACAAATTAGCCATATATGTATATGTGTGTATAGTACACTCACGTTCACCGGCCACGGCGGTCATCCTGTTGGGTTTGATGTCACCTTGAACAGACGGCATACAGGTACTGTAGTTCGTGTAGCAGCCATGGGCAAAGGTGCTATGGTTGCCACTGAAGATGGCAATGATGATGTTGATGTTGATCAGGATGATGACCACGATGATGGTGATGATGATGACGACGATGAACATGTTGTTGTTGTTGATGATGATGATGATGCTGATGATGATGATGATGATGATGATGACGGCGATAATGATGCTGGCGAGAACGGGAAGACAAAACCTTGTGAGCAAAACTATTTGTCGCCGTCGTCACCGTTGGTCTCATCGTGGCCGTGCGCATCGTCGTCGCAGCGGTGTTCTGTGATAAGAGGCTCTTTTATGATGAGCAAGCTTCCGTCGACTGATCCAGGAATCATAAACACCACATCAATGCTGCCCAGGTGGATTCGCAAAGATGCCAAGGTCGCAGGCCTGACCTTGTACAGAGCTTCCGTACAGGTACTCGGGTTTGGGGCGCGTTGAGAGTGGTGTGGGTCCTGTGGAGAAACTTAGGTTGTTCTTGGTTTGTGGTCCTGCTCCCCAATGCGCCCCAAGATGGGGAACCATCTCGGGATCAGGGTTTAGGGTTTAGGGGTTGTTTGTTTAGGGTTTATAGGGTTTGGGGTTAAGGGCTTGCGTCTTGAATGTGTCGAAATGTAGGCTTACTTCAACCCGTCACCCTGCTACGAGCTTTTCAAGCTTTACGGGTTGAGGTTTAAGTATATAAGTCGCCTTGGATCGAAATGCTTTGAGGTTCCAGAAACGTCGTCTGCATGTCCAGGCAATACAAGCTTGGGGCTTTGATTGAGATGCAACGATGCCCGACCCACCTTGATATCAGCAGCCTCGACAACTGAAAGCACAATGATTACGCTCCCATACTACATATTAGTTACTAGTAGCCCGCTTAAACCCAACACAAACCCTCAGCTCCACCCACTTAGAACCGTGGTCTGCGTAGCCGGCAGGCGATGACAGCAATCCCGCCGCAGACCAGCTTGATGAACATTTGCACCTACTTCCA